AGGCAGCCCGGGCAGGGCCCTGGGGCCCGTCGGGGCCCGGTCCCCCTTTCTTTTACAGCTGCGGGTCTGCCCCTCGCTGCCCCTCCACCGGGACCCGGTTGCCCTCGGGCTCCGGTGTGGAGCACCAGACAGCGGGCAGGGAAATAGGGGCTGCAGACAGGCGGCTTCTACGGGATCCGGCCTCGGGGGATCGGTGTTGAGATGCTGAGACCATGGGGAGCAGAATCGGGGTGGCCAGGAGATGGGGTCTCTGCCTTGCAGCGGTCCCTGACCACGGAGGCGATGCTGTCGCCTCAGTCCATCTCCGAGTTCCTGTTCGGATGCTGTCATGAAAACAAATCTGGCGTGTGGGATGTTTGTGTTTCGAGTGGTGGTTGAGGAGCTGAACAGATTCAGGATTTCTTTTTTTTTTTTTTTTTTTTTTTTTGACAGCCAGAATCAGTGTGGGAGCTTAGTGCTTCCCAGTGAGTTCCTGTGACCTTTCCCGAAGACGCTGGGGAAACCCTTTTGAGATAAAGTGATAATAAAACAACGTTTTAAGGAGTCTCTGCAGGCTCTTTACCTTGTGCAAAGCATTCACTGTCACAGATTCTGGATGCCTTCATAAATGCTTATTTTAACAAGATGAATGAGTATCTTAAGGATGTAGGTAAAAAGACCCTGTATGTTTGCCACCTTTTTTTTAGCCCTGCTATCAGCCACAGTGGGATTTGTCTTTACAAAGCTCATCGGGGGCAAAAATCAATGCAAGAGAAGCAGCAACACAGTCTTGTGTTGTTGAAATCTGGATTGATGTAAAATATGTGTGTCTTCCCTTTTGAACTAAAAAAGCCCACAGTAGAAGGAAGTCTGAGCACTGTGTTCAGACAACCCAGATTGTACCTAAACTGCGAGATCAAGTATTGAAATTGTATATGGTCTCTTCCTGTTTCATTATCATTCTTGGCACATTGCAGGTGAAGTAGGTCTCCAGAAGGCTTTCAAAAAGAAGGTTTTTTTCAAGTATTTCTGTGGTATTTCATGTGAAGCTAAAGATCTACATCAGAGCTCTTGGGGATTAAAAGTAAAACAAAAGAAAGCCGAAGCAGTTGTGTAAGTGTAGGAACAGTCCCGTATCTGCCTCCTGCCCTGCTCAGTTCGGAGGGGTTCTGACCCAGAAGAGATTCTGGGCAAATCTGTTAGGTGATAGGCATTGTCTGAATCTGAAACATAATCTAGTGCTTTTAGATACTCTGCTGATTTCTCTGCTTCTCAAATACTTGGTTATTGTTCAAGTTTGATTGGTTTTCACCTGCGTCTGCAGGTGTAAGGTCTGTGATTGAAGATAGTGATTGCTGTTGAAGGCAAACTGGCCAGAGTTGAAAGGCTGCCTGTTGGAGCGGTGGAGGTGGCGTAGCACTGGTTGTTGGCGTTTCACTTGTTGAATCTGTGGAGTTTGTCCAAGCAGCAGTCTCTATACTTTTAATTGACTGTAGTGAGTAGGCGTTATTCTTAAAGTACCATATTTCAAACCTTTTCCCGTTGGTATTCAGTGAAAAGGGAAGCGCCCGAGCTTTCCCCCGAGCAGTCCCAATGCATGCGTAACCCTCCCTGAAAGCAGCTTGCTGGAGATCAAGCTAGGAGAAATCTCAGAGCCCCGTGTTGCAGGCTGTTAGCGTCCCAGTCTGGTGACTGTGCATCGAAGGATGCTCGAACCATTGTTTTAGGTACCCTGAGCTCGCTGAAAGCGAATTGTGCTATTGAACTCAACTCTTCCAGTTTGTGTGAAACTTTTTTTTGTCATTTAATCCATTTCAGATTTTAGTAATTGAATACATTTTCAGAATATGTTTCCCTTCGCCCTCTGGAAATTAATGTAAGGAGCGATCAGAAGTTTAAAGTTCCTTTAAGAGTAGGAGCAAAAAAAGGTTTCCTGTAAGAAATTGCACCACTGCAGATTTTTTCGGAAAGCGCTCTCTCCGGCACTCTTCTGCCTCCTCTGTTCCCAGCCGCAGCAGATTAATTCCAGCTGACCCGTCAGCCAGTCTACAAGTTCAGTGCTGTGCGGCAGCGCTACTGGAAGGCATTTTATTCTCCAGATGTGGAGCTAAGTACAGGATACCGAACCCTCTGCTGCCTGCGTCCACAGTACATTAATCTAAATGAAGAGGCAAGGCATTTAGGCTTACCAGTTGAAATAGATTTTGATATTTTCAGAGGGCACCTTTATATCTCTACATTTTAAATATTTCATGGTGGTTGAATGTTAGAAACTCCTGTTGATTTGCAGCTACGTAGTCTTAGTGCTAGATTTGGAGGAGATGTAAGTAGGAGATGTAAGCAATTTGGTACATTGATGGACATCAATGTTTTCAAATACTGTGTTTCAAAGATAAATAGTGTTTCTTGATGACGATTATTCACTTTTACTTCTAAGTTGTAAAGCTGCTTTGGAACGAACATTGGCATCCAAATAAAAATGCAGAAAAGAATAATCTTGGCTTTTTTTATTTAAGACAATGGCAAATATGCAGACGATGAAAGAGGTAATTAATTTGTATTAAAAATGGACTTACTTGTAGTTGTTGAACTTGTCCTTCAGGAGTTGCGAACTGTAAGATCTTATTCTCACTTCATTTGATTCACGGATCACAGGCTTTCCAATTCCTATTCAGCCTCTCAATTCCGCTTATCCAGCTGGAATGAAGCGAGTAGTCTCTGTGCCATCGCAGAAGTGGCACGAGGCAGCAGAAACTGTTTAGCCAAGACTGGTCTCATATGTGGAGGCAGTATCTCTTTTTAGACCAACCTGTGCAGTTGAAGGGGTTAGGTGAGTCTTGGGCCAGGCAGACCCTTCTTTGGTTTTGGAACAGGAGCAGCAGACTTCAAAGCTCTATAAAAAAAAAAAAAAAAAAAGACGAATAATTATTATCATGTAATCACGATGCCGCTCCAGAGTACTTTGGCGTTTGCTTCTCCAGTTCAGTGGTTTGACTTTCTTCAAAATGTAAACACTGAGCGTGATCCTGAAAGCGTGTGCTGAGGAGGTACTCCCCAGTTCAGAGAAACCCTTCCTCTGCTCATCAGTCCTCTTCTAAAATTGCGTTTGCATTCCACCTACGATGCCTTCAATTCTCTGTACCTGAGTATTAGGATTAAATTAGGTTTTCCCTAATACGCTTCTCACAAGTCAAATTTATGTTAGCTGAATTGAGAAGAAAGTTTCTTTGTCCTTCTACGTGAAAACAACAAACTGTGTGGTCCGCTGTGCTTTTCTTCCCCTTTCTTTTGAAACCCTTCATAAAACCTCCAGTTGACTTTTAACTTTTTACACCTTTCACGCTAGGCATGTGTGACGTATGTCATACCCACTCCAGACTGCGTTAAAAGGCACTTTTTCCTTTCCTATCTGTCTTTTGCACTCTCTAATCCCTTAAATATCAGCTTTCCTCTCTTGCTTTGTTTTCGATCCCTGTGGCTTGAGGTCTGGCTCCAGCCCGGCAATAGCGTTAATCCACAACTATTGTAGCCGGAGCCGGCGGTCCCAGGTTAGGGACTGCCCTTTGCCATGCCTTGGCTGAGAGCACGACTGCTCTCCCTTTTCTCATAGTTTGTAGCATGAGGGATTCCTAAAATGCTGCATGTTTCGAATTGAGGTTAACAGAAGGGGAAAATCTGATCAGAATAAAGTCGCTTTGCAAGCGGTGGCCTTTCCCATTTATTTGCGGTGTGTTGGGAAGTATTTTACCTGCTTCTCCGGCGCTAGCTTTTCTTACCACCTCCTTTTCTCACGGTTTACCGGAACGCGTGGCATTTTGAAAGGCGATCCTGAACGTAGGTAGCAATGTTCCTGAAAGAACAAAGGCAGAATTTTACGGCGTGTGTTGCTTTCGACTCGTGTTTGCACGCACCGTTCCCACCGTTCGGCTCTGCTCGCCATCTCTGTAACAGCACGTGGCCGCGGCGTTCATCAAGATGCTGCGCGCTGAAGCTACGTTTACCTCCCGCCTCGTGACATGTTTAAGCATGATAGCACCCGAGCTGTGTCATAACACAACCAAACCCTGTTTATATGGATTTGGACAAAAGGATTATAAACAGGAGCCTGGTTCGTTATCAGACAAGCTAAAACTGGTCGTGCAGGGTTTAATTTACAGTATAATGGTTCCAAAGGTTTGAAAACCCAAAGAAAGCAGCAAAATCATTGTACTGTATGACCAAAACATGCATACTGTTGCTGAGATTTGGCCTTTGTGTGTTCAGTTGTGATTGATCGTTTATAGGTAGGAAGCTGGACTTAAAGAGTCAGGGGGGGAAAAATGCCCGTGATACGCTTTCTGCGTTAAAGGTGCAAGATCCCATTTACTGTTCTCAATAATCCTGTTTCAAAATGCCAGGGTGAGCCGTCTCAGCTGCACAGAAATAATTTTAAACTGAGATATATTATTATGTGAGCATTTCTATTTACGTTTAATTTTCCGAGGTGAAGCAAAAGTGCTCTTTCTCTGCTCGGGTATCTTGCAAATCAGGTCTGCTGAGCTGGTTTGGTTTGGGGCTTTTTTTGGAAAGGATGTAGTAATTAACTTTTTTTCACTCTCTTTCCCCTCCCCCTGCTTCTTCTTGGATAGGAGACCTCCATTTTAGAGGAGTACAACATTAACTGGACTCAGAAGCTGGGAGCTGGGATCAGTGGTCCTGTTAGGTAAGGCAATACACCTGCGGATTTGTATGTAATCTCAGCCCGTTTCATTAGCTGTGGAGAAGTGAGTATGTGTTTTAATTGTGATGTGATATGTGCAAGACTGTCTTTATAAACAAAAAAATGTCTCTGTACTCCATGCGGGTCGTAGCTGATGTGCGAGCGAGTTATTGTCTTTTATGGGATATATTTGAAGTAAAAACTCTCCTCGCCTCTCTGCCTTGTCCTGTCTCGTTCCCGAAGCAAAGCAGGATCAGGAGGCGGTTGTGAAACAGCGGCAGCAGAAAATTCTACCCAGACACCTTTGTCCTTTTGATACTGGTGTCAGTACGGTGCAAAGGTCGCTGCTCCCGTCTACGGTATCATCGCTTGGGGCATCAGCACGGTGCGGCCGTTAGCTATTTTTACCAGCTATTTTTTCACATCATCATGTGAGGCCAAAGCCGAGAGTGCCACGAGCTCTGCATCTCATACCAGACTTGCCCATCGTGAATTTCTAACCCCCGCAGGAACTGGACTCTTTCTGAAAAGCAAAATATGCGTTGCCTTTTCAACTAGAACTCTCCCTTTTGGGAGCGGGAATTTGCACAAGCGCTGGAAAACAAACGTCTGCGCCTCTGTGTTTCTGGGCGCTCGACAGGGCGATTGTCTTTTGCCGCCATTTATCTTCCTGTCCAGGCAATTGTTTCTCCTCATTCATTTTCTGTTGCTGCGTTGCCTCTGATCTTTATTTAAATATCCCTTTGTTTTTTATTCTTTTAGCTGCCTGTTAATATGTGGGTCCTTCCCTCTGACGCAGTTCAATTGTTAATGTTAAATGGGGGAAAGAGAGGAAAAAAAACCCCACGTGTGGGGCACAGTTGGTGGCCTTGCTAAAACAAGGCTTTCCATTCAGAAACGCTTTATTTATTGCAGACTACACCTTCTGCTGGAGATACTCAGGCTGCCACTGTGTGGTTTGGGTTTTTTCATCAGAAGTATCTCTTCAGGCTGAATGTGTAGAGTGCATTCTGCTTGTCTGCAGTAACCCGTTGCCCTGAAGTACTTTTTTTTTTTTTTGCGTTGCTGAAAATACAACTTTCCGCTAGGTCTTTCTGCCTAACGTATTAGATTGTTGTGGAAGGCTGAAAACTGAGGCTTTCAAGCTGGGACGTGGTGACAGGTGCCCTGTATATTCCAGATTGCGGGCATTCCTCATAACTACAGATGGATTGCTTGAAGTGTCTCTTTAACATTCTTGCTGACTGAATAATTTTATTGCTGTAACACTAGAGTCTGCGTGAAAAAATCCTCTCAAGAACGCTTTGCACTGAAAATTCTTCTTGATCGTCCAAAAGCTAGAAATGAGGTATAGTTCCTGTTTATACTGTCTGCCTTCTGACACACCGCAAAGTCTTTGCCCCTTTTGGTGAATTGTTGCAATGTTTGTTTTTTTTTTTAAAAAAAAAGAAAAAGGAAAGAAAAAAAAAGTGTTCTGCAGGTCTTGCTGTGCAAGATCTGTCAGGTTTCATCCTCTAGCCTTGCTGTGCTGGGTTCCTAGAGGATGAGGTGGTGGGTGAAACAGAGGGTCTTTCTAACTCTGAGTTTGCTGGAGGTGTTCGCTGTATGTGAACAAGTGTAATTTATAGAGCTGCATTTTAAAGCCAGAGTTCTCCCCGTGTCCCATGTAATGTAACGTGAATGGTTTAGAACTGATTTTGTTTCCATACATCTCACTCTTGGATTTCGCTAATAATTGCCAAGAATGCTTCAAGTTGCACTCTAAATGGTACGGGTTTGTCTGTGTCCGAGAAATTAAATAAACTTGCCGATACCATTTGTGACTTAGTGGGGGTGGCAGGAGTGTGCCGGGGTACCAAACTGTCAGTCCGCGGAAGATGATGGGCAGTCAGGAAAGGGAAAGAAGCGTTAATTGTCCTCAAGGTTTAGGCAACTTCCATTTCTTGTTACTGAGCAACTTCTCATTTAAAATTTCCAGGGGACAAAAAAAAAAAAAAAAAGAATATCTGTTTACAAAGAGCCTCAAGCCTTGACGTGATTTAACAGTCCAGGTAGCTTTAAACTGGGGCAAGTTCCTTTGCTCCCTGCGTTCAGAAAGTTGACGGGGAGATTAGCATTCACAACACGTGAAACCTTGACCTTGAGGCTATAAAAGGAGCTGAATTATGGAATTTCAAGTTTGATTCATGAATGTTCAGTTTCGATCGTATCTCTATTGCTACTTTAAAGCTAGTTCTAGCTTTACATTTATTTTAAAAACCCAAAGAAATCAAAGATTGGGCTTTCTCTGGAACTGTGCTGGGTTTGATTCCATGGTCTGTAACAAGTAGGTCGGGAATGTATGATCTTTTTGTCCCACTTGGTCCAAGTAGGGACAATATGGCTGTTGGTCGCTCATATAAACGCTTGTAGGCATTTCTTATTTTTTTGAATAATTAAAATTTCCCGTGACTGGTGCTGAGCACTGCTGGCAGCGCACGAGCTCGTGTGTGCCGTAGTCTTGGGGGCAGAGGGAGGAGCAGAACCGCTCAGGTGTATGTCACTGTGTACAGTAACGTTTCTTCCCTTCTCTTCAAGGTACGTCTGCACATGATGTGTGCAACACATCCAAATATTGTTCAAATTATTGAAGTTTATGCTAACAGTGTGCAGTTCCCACATGAATCCAGCCCAAGGTAAGATTACATAGGGTGATTCATTCCCACAGTTTGCTTTCCATGTTTAGGCCAAGGTATAGTGGAATTTGCTTTTTTTTTTTTTTTTTTTAATCACAGTTTGACCAAAATAAATATTTATAGGGTGTTCCAGAGATGGTATTTATACTTCAGACTAAGCAACACTTGATTTTTACGCTGTCAATGCCCAGACCTTTGCATATTTAAATGAATTTGCGTCCTTCACTATTGGTCTTGAATACATCTTCATTTCTTAGGTTTTTCATTGGTTCGGTCTGTGATACCTGTGTTGTCAGAGAGAGTATATTACCTTCTAGTTACCGTCCTGCTTTGATATTGCTTTGTCAGCTTGAATTGAATTGTAACCTTTGAGGCTCCTTCTGCTTTCAAAGCACTGTTAAAGCAGGATTGGAGCTGCGACTTTTGTTGCTACGGAGAATTGAGATCGTTTTACATGATGGTGATGCCTGTGAGCCACTGGGAAGCTCAGAGTGCCAGTCTTCATTAAAAAAAAAAAAAAAAAAAAGGAGAGAATTGTTTCTAAAATATTCCAGGTTCTGCCCTGTAAGCTCTCAATACATTGTCCTGCTTAAAATGAACACAGCAAAACATGAAGCAGACTTATTATTTTTCATGCATTAATATCGCTTGGGATAAAAACTTTGTCTTCTAATTGGATATTAGTTGAGGGGAAAAAAAAAAAAATCAGAGCTGAGACCTGTCTTAGTCTCTGATGTATCTGATCTTGCTGTGTGGCAAGAAGAACTAGAAGTTAGTTTCTTGAGGATCTAGCGGTCCACGCTTCCTATTCGTTGTCCTTCATAATTTTGTCAATAAAACCATAAATTAAAATAATGAGGTACAGTAGGGTATCCAGACTCAAAAGCATTAAAGAGAATTCCTCAGCCTTCTGCTTCTGGCTTTCCATGAACATCGTTAGCCCCTAGGCAGAGCGCACGTCTGCAAGGATGGGTGCAGACCGGTGTACGCTGTGCTCTAAGCCAGCTCCAGCCTGGAAGCTGTTTAGCCTGTTTAACGCAAGACTCTACCTGCTGTATTATTCTTTGAGGGCAGAGTTATACATGGATGTGTCTAAACGGCTTCCGGGTCCAAACTGGCTCGCCGATGGGAAGCGTGGTTGGAGCTTGCACGTTATCTGTCTGAATGCATCCATGTAGACATGTCCGTGGCGTTTGTTCCAGTTGGATGGGGGAGCCCAACGCGGAGAGCAAACTGTAGATTCCTGGCTGACAATCAGTGAGTCAGATTGTGCTGGGAGCCAGAAAATCCCGCAGCTGACGTGCTTAAAGGCAAAATTATGGGACCGAAATAGCTAGAACAACTGTAGGAGATGCAAGTGTATGTCTCTCTCCTGGCCCGCGTCAGTAGATGTGAAGTATGCATTATTAGCTTAGCAATTCTGTTATTTTTTGATTATTTTTAATATAACAAAATGAAATGCTTTTGAACAGGGCTCGGCTCCTAATTGTAATGGAGATGATGGAAGGGGGAGAGCTATTTCACAGAATCAGCCAGCACCGGCACTTTACTGAGAAGCAAGCAAGCCAAGTAACAAAGCAGGCAAGTTAACACCCATGTATAAGCAAATCCGTGAATGACAATGGCTAAAGTATTTAACAATTTCTTGGGGTTTGGGGGTGGGAAAAAAGGAAGCTAAAATAATCCTCCGTTCTGATCCAATGATCATTGCCTGCTTTGTTATAACCTGACAATGCCGAAGTTTTTTAATAGAAGCAAAGAATTTGAAGGTGTGGGCTAGTTCTTCTGGGTTGGGGCCCTGGTGTCTCTGCTGTCCTTAGCGATGGTTTTCCTAACCTGGTCTACAGAACGCTTCACCAGAGAGAGCTCTCTTCTTGCACAATCTTCCTGCTGTATCCCTCACTGTTGTGTTCTAAAAGCGTTACCTCCAACGGTCCCCGGGCTCTCACCAGACCACGCGTGGCTCCTGAGCTCCAGTTTGAGACTCGCTCTTGGCTGTGACACAGACTTGGCGTTTCTCTCGCCTCTTGGCTGGGGTAGCAGACAATCATGTACACGTGTTCTGGGCCAGTGGTTTTCAAGTTGGGTTCTGTGTTTGGTTTTATGAAAGTCCTGCCTGCGGTGGAAGATAAACCAGAGGAATGTACTGCTATAGCGTGTGTTTTCTGTGCTGTTTGTTCTGATGTCATTTTTCCCTCTCCGTTTCTCTAGCCAGCTCAGTCTGGAACGTTGTGTTTTAGAGCCTTCACAGTATTTATCACTGGAGGTTTTGGTGTCCATCAGGCTCTTTGTTGCTTAGCAGTTGCGTCAGGTGTGACTAGCTCATATCCTGCTAGAGCAGGCAGGGTGATGAAGCAGAAGGGCCTCCATGGGATTCAGCGCGGGGATCCCCAGTGCCCGTTCCTCTCAGTTCTGGGGTCGACTTGTTCCCTTTCACTTTTCAGCTGTTGGATGACTTGTGGTGCCCAGTCAAAAAGCTTGGATTAATGGGAAGGTTGAAGGAAAGAGAATATTGCTGTATGTTGTGATAGTCTTTCTAGGGTGCCTCAGCACGGGACCAGCAGGTTCCTGTTAAGGAACCACAACCCAGAAGGATCTCGCTGTCAAAATGGCTGAGCTCTTCTGCATGGGAATTGGCACCACGGCATGAAGCCAAGGGCCGGAGTTGCCTTCGTTTGCTTCTTGCAGAGGTTATGTTGGCATTCCAAACAAAAGATGTATGAACTGTAGGTGAGAGGCTATGTTGGAGATAGTTAATCAGTCAATGTCCTGCTCACACCAGTCATCACTGCAGTGAACAAAGGAAAGAAAACACGAGACAAGATGTTACAGCATTTGTTGTAGATTGACATGATTTTATGAATTTACCCGTATCCTGATCACTTGCATCCTGATCGCATGCTTCCCCTGAAGCTGGGGAGGCACTGTTTGCTACTGAGGCAAAGAGCGCCAAATCATTTAATCTTCATTATCTGTCTTGTGCTTTGACTTGTGTCGAATGAAATGGTGATTGTGTCATTGCCTTTTTGGCTTCATCCAGGAAAGAAATTAGGTGGAAGTACAGAATTGTTCTTGACAGTTTGTTTTCGTGTCCTTTGGGCCATTTGATTTTGCCAACGCAAGGCAGTCTCCAGGATTAACATGTTAGGAAAGTCTTTTGAAACTATACCAAAGACAAAACTTTGAATTGAATTCTGACTTCGTGTACACTTAGGTTATTCGTGTCCCAAGTAATTCTTTCCTTTAATGTTTATACAGATGAACTTTGAAAGCAATGCTAAAGTCTTACTCTTCCGTCTGGTGGTTCTTCATCACTGTCTTGAGCTGAGGGGCTTAGTTCCTTGTACCCAGGAATGGTTAAAACCTTGTCACAAAGCTACCTCGTTTTATCTGGGAGTGTGTTTGTATTTGTTTGAGCTAAGTTAACACTGAAGTTCTCTTGTCCCAGTAATTTGCATCTTGTAAGGACTCAGTGCTTCACCCAGGGCAGGGTTTGGGTAGGATCCTACAGAAGCCAACAGGAATACTTTCAAATAAGGGTCGTGTGGCTTTGCCTTACTGTTTCAGTAACGCTGGTTTTTAGCTTTGGTTTTCTTTAAATGAATTGCACTTTCGAACGTACAGTCTCTTGAGCTTTCATGACCGGGTTACGGGTTTCTAAACCACAGCAGTGTAAGAAGCTGTCTTGGAAAGAATCAAATAACGCATTTCTGTGTAATAGCAGATGAAACCAGTAAGTTGCAGACAGTACGGCCAAGAATTAAAGAATAAAACTGCCTGAATGTTGACTCTTAAGTCAGTAACAAATGCAATAAAATACTCACTGAAATCTTGAAGCAAGAACTCACTGTCAACTGCAAAACGAAATGCAATTGCTGGAGTGCGTGCAAGCAAGTTTAGTGACCTTGTAGGAATAGCACAGCATATAAAAGGACACTGTCATGATCTGTTTCACCTCTGGAGACTTTGATAATGCCCCAAGTTAGTCAAACTGAAATGGTTGGGAAGCCCAGCACCACTTAGCTTTTATTTTCTGTTTGCCTCGAGTGAAAAGCAAACTGAAGAGCTCGGCGGGTTTCGTTTCCCGGTCGTCGCTTTGCCGCACTCTTGTGCGGTGTGGAGTGGCGTCTCTTAACTCGGAATTGTACCCAAGTGGATGGAAAATGTTTGGGGTCTAAGCTATGTTGGCAGTGTCCTCTTTAAAGCTAATATGACTGTCCCGGCTGAAGGAGGAGCTCTGTAATTGTAGTTGATTTATTGTGCCCTTTTTCAGATAGCTTTGGCTTTGCAGCATTGCCACTCACTAAACATTGCACATAGAGACCTCAAGCCTGAGAATCTCCTCTTCAAGGATAACTCTCTGGTAAGATGAAGACTTGGTATTCTTTGTTTACTGCGGAATTCTGTAAAATGGTCCAATGATGATTTTCAGAATAGTTGTAAAATGACATTAGTGCAATGTTTTGGTGACAAAATTTAATGACCTTTTTTTGGCTTCGTGCTTTTCCACACTCTGACCTCCTTGGAGTACAGGCTGTCCATGTTGCTGCTGTTAAATATGGGTCAGGTTCTCCAGCTCAACATAGAATCCTGCCCCATTTCCTCCCCATGGGTCATCAGGATGTTTTAACATTCAGTACAGGTTCTTTGACTGACATATCCAAAGCACTTGCCTGTTTCTTCTCCTGCTCATAACCACCCTGCATATGCAGTGACCTCCCTACAACGTGCTCAGTGCTTTCCAAAGCTTAGAGGGGGGGGCTGCTTTTGACGCAGAACACCCAGGAAAACAAAAATGATTGTTTCAAAGGTCACCTTAGGATCTTTTAGCGGCTTTGTGGAACGGTAAGGGTATAAATACAAAAGAGGAATACGTGTGGCAAAGGTAAGATGAGTACAAGGCAAGAAGGATGTGTTAGAAAGCCTGATATGACGAGATTTTGTAATGAAACCTCTTCTCCTCGTTTTAGGATGCACCTGTTAAATTGTGTGACTTTGGATTTGCCAAAGTAGACCAAGGTGACTTGATGACACCACAGTTCACTCCGTATTACGTAGCACCTCAGGTAATGAATGATTACAGTTCTAGGCTAAAGGGGAATAACGATCTTTATTGCCTGTGCCTTCATAACCACATCATTTTAAAAGCCTTTGCTGCCCTATTAAGGGCTTCTGGGTGCAGGAATCCTGAGTAATTGTATAGTAGCCACCTTTCAAAATAGAGTGCCGCAGTGATCTGTGGCAGGAGATCATCAGGCAAATTTCCCAGATTGCATTCATCGCACTGACTTATTGCCGATACCTCCTGACTCTCCCAGGCCTGACTCCCACCGGCGAGATGACTCCGGGACTTTAATAATTGGCCTTTAACTGTATTAAAGCGGTTGGCTTGGAAAAGTTCCTGCTTTGCAATCCTTCTTCCAGCTCAGGCTCATTCAAGGTTACGTTAAAAAGGACTATGCTGGAACAATAAAGTTCTGTAAAGGCGATTGCTGTGAAGGAGGGCGGTGTTGGAGGGTGACCGTTCACCTTGGCAGTACGATTAAGACATAATCTATAGTTACGGACAGGCTGGGTTTTGTAGTGCTGCTTTCCCCACTCTCTTTTGTGCTTTGTGTTGGAGTCCTGAAGAAAATTAAAGGAAAACTGCAGATAGATATTTAATTGCAGTACTGGGCATGTCGGCAGCCTTTAATGACTAGAAAGAGAAATTGCAGAGATCAGACCGTACAGCCACAGTTGAGTGCCCTGAAAATGCCTCCTTAACTGGAGCCTGCTCGTGAAGGGCCATGTGCATTACAGACAAGGATTTTTGAAACAACTGAACTGCCAAACCTGTAAAAAGCTTTTCCTGAGATTTATTTAAAGTGAGATTTTTCTAAAAACCCAGAAACACAGATTTGATCAGTGAGGGATAAATTTGATTTGATTTTCTTGCGGGGGAGGCTCTGGAGCTAGGGTTACCCTCCAAATGCGTTTTAAGTTCTAGTTCCAAACCATAGAAGTATGAGAGTTTCTTAACAAAAGAGGTGTGACCTTTTGATTTAATTCGGGCAAAACGGGGGGTTTCATCCAAAGCGGGAAAATGGTTTAGCTGAGATTTTCCCCCATGTAGAAAATTCCACTCTTAGGAAGAACAGTTTGAGTTTGGCAAAGTCTGGAATAAGTCCACTGAATGGAAGAGCATCAGGCGTGTTTGGCATAGGCATTGCTGTTTGTGGTGCCTGTAAATGAGGTGTATTTCCTTTTTTTTCTTTTTTTTTTTTTCCTCCCCCTCCCTGTCGTGTCAACAGGTATTGGAGGCACAAAGACGACATCAGAAAGAAAAATCTGGTATTATCCCCACCTCTCCAACACCTTACACTTATAACAAGGTAAGCTATGAAACAGTCCACAAGTTGATATCTTTAACGCGCAGTGTCTTCTCCACCCCTCGATGCATCTGCTGTAGAAGCAATCTATAGACACAGTTTATCGCCTAAGGCAATAAACTTTATTGCCTTGAAATTCTGCACTTATGGCCAGGAGCAATGAAGTTGTGCTGATCTCTGTGACAGGAATACATCTAACTAGCCAAATATCTGACACTGGGTCAAAAGCAAGATCTGCAGGGAGCAGCAGGGAAATGTCACGTTGCTTGCTGTTTTGTGTACATGTGTATTTTCAGCTGTAAGGAAGTCTTTGGGGCTGTATTTCTCACAAATATCAGATATATAGTGGTACTTCTCCCTTAAAATGTATTGGGTTCAGACCAGGTTTCATTGGGTTGAACTGGCAAACCAGAAGATAAGGATCTGGGCAGGTCGCTGTCTTTCTTGGTGTAGAAGTGACATACCAAAAGGTGCTGCTGGCTCTGCATTCTTTCTGATGGAGCGAATAACGAAATGCGGACTTGGTCCAAGCCTAATTGATAGTCCTCTAATTAAAGGAAAAATACAACAAACACTGTTAACAGGAGCACTAAATTTTGGAGAGAGTGGAATGATTCTGCTGGAGCGTGCCCATGTGGGAAGTTCTTTCACCTCCGCAAGAGGCTGGTTCAAAGGGATCCTCTTTTCTGCTGTCAGCCGGAGTTTTTGGATATGCAAAGCACCGTTTAGGCTGTGTAGTTCAGGCGGCTGTGGTGGTACCTTGTCTGTGTCGGGGGTCTTCTGCAAAATGACCTGTAGTGTATTGCGTTGGCGGTAGCAGTACCCATTGGCAATAACAACCACTGCTAGAGTCTGGGCAAAGTTATGACAGAAAGCGTCCTGAAAGGTCGTCATCCTTTTTGATCATTCCAAAACATTTTCCTGCATATCGTTATCGCTGTCTCCTGCCGGCTTAGCAGTGGTTGAACCACTAAGTGTTTTTCTTTGGCGATGTTGATTAAACTTAGCGGGTTTCTGATTGCAAGGCAGAGTATCTACACTGATTCCAGCTTCAAGGATGGTGGTTTAACCCACCGCCTGCTGGAGGGGGTAGTTTCACATATAGTGTCATCTTTTAGAAGCCTTATAGAGAGAGCTAAAGCAAAGGCGGGCAGAGATAACTTTCACTGAATTAGTCCACATGGGTTTTTCTAATCATGAATCTGCCTTCTTCAGAGTCATGATTATCTCTTCTCCATCCTGAAGAAACAGCTTGATGATTGAAATATATCTTGTTATAAAATTGAAATATACTTGTTATAAAAAGAGTTCTCAGACAGGTGCCGATCGCCTTTGCAACGCAGAGTTTCTTCTGCCTTCTCTCAGGTGAACCCCAGTCACAGGGACAGTCATTTTTCCTAAATTTTGAAAGTCTCACAATGCTCAAGAACTCCACTTCTATGGATGGAAGCAGATTTACTCTCCAGTAACAGTCCTCTCCAACGGACTTCCCTCTCTTTTGTTGTCAGAGGGTAGATGCAGTTCCAGAGACAGCTAGGAGTGGTTGCTCGTGCTCAGCGGTTGTTCGTATTGGTAACAGTTTGACTACTGTTATGTTCTTTTAATGAACCAAAGAGCCCTGGCCGTGGCAACTGAAGCAAAATATGGGCCATATTCTTGTACAGGATGGAAGAATCTTGAAAACAGATACCAGCTGGAGTTAACTCACGTACCGACAAGGTTGAGCTGCCTTCATCTGGGATTTTCAGTGTGATAGAGTGATGCTCTTTTCATGTTGCATTTAAAGAACCGTTGGGTCGCTCTGAACCGCTTTCAGTCATGGTGGTACTAACTGGAGAGGCTGCTGAAAGAAGCAGCCTCATCCTTACCTTGCCAAGTGTGACTCACTGCAAAAGCAGCATCTGGCATACGCCTGGTTCCCTGAAATAGCCTGTGATAAACTCCCAGGTACGCTGTCCTTCCACAGCAGTTCAGAGCCTGCATGGAAATGCCTGTGATCCACCTTCATGATCAGCAGCCCAGATTTAAATTAGAGGAAAAAAACACATTTTTGATTCCCTGAGTATTTTTATTAAGCTGTGGGCGTATTGGATCAACTATAAGTGTGTATGTCATGGCTGGAGGGGGTTGACTCTTGGGAAACAGAATCTGGGAACCATATCCACAAAGAATTTAGACCCCTGTTTCCTACTTACATGCCTAAAGTACCATTGATTTCAATAGAAATTGTCTCTGGTCACTGGAAAAGTTATGAGAATTTAGGTACCTAAATAGAAATTTAGACTTCCAGAACCATCTGAAATTGTCTTAAATGACTTGCTGAAAAGCATACGTACGCGGGGTAAATCCTTGGGGTTTCTTTTGTTATCAGCATCCACATCTTTTGTAGAAGCCAAAAACCAAGGGTATGGTTTAATGGTCAGTATGAGCTGATCTAAGCGTATGCCCTGCAGAAGGAAACAGTCTCGCCTTTGACGGGCCCCTTCCTGGGTCGGTGTTTATCCAGTCCAAAACCAGTAATTGGGGTCAGGGATTCTCTCTTTGCTGAGTTTGTCTGTGCGGCTTCAGGAACGCCGCTGCTGTCCCAGACTAGGCGGTGGAATACGCAGCCTGGGGCAGACAGGATGGTGCTGAGGTTGCTTCAGTTTGGCAGCCGTGCAGACTTCTGTCTGTGTAAAGTGATCGCAGAACCTCCCCAGTTCCCCAAATCTGCCCTTGTGTGTCTTTCCACACTCACCTGAATCTGGCTGGACTTCAGGCTTCTGCTTACCCTTGGCTGTGTGTTCCTGTCCATCCTTGTGCTGGCATAAACCTTTGGGAGTCACCTGGAGGAGTGATAGGGCTGGAAACCAAGCCAGTAAAAATAACTGATTAGCTTTACAAATGCCAGTGTTGGCACAAAAGAAATATTGGGAATGGATTGCCAGAGTCAGAGCGAGTCCTACCAGCCCAAGCCCTGCACCGCACCGTAACCAGGTGATAACAGAGCTGTATCCTCAAGGATGTGGTCCAACAGAAGGTTGAATTGAAGTCTAGGCTGTAACGGTCCTCTTCCCTTCTTCTGAGTAGCATCTGTGTTGCATGAATGCACCGAGATCCGGATGGGGAATAGATCTGGCTTTCAGCTTCTTCACTGAGCTGGTTTTTGGCTGGGTCCATCTCCTAAAGGAACTTTTTCCGCATCGCACAAGCGGTAACGCTAGTGCAAGGGCCGGGGGGGGGACCTGCGGGCTGGGGTGGGAGAGCAGGAGGGAGCTCAGCGCGAGCAGCCCTGAAATACTGCTCCTGCCTTTCTGAAGCTTCTTCATCTCCGTGGCTTTCGGGATGTGCGGTTTTCATTACAGACCTCGCTGATGAAGTACCTCTGCTAGCGCATTTGTTTGACGGTGTTTCTTTTTTCAGTCTCACATTCTAAAAAACGACTGTATTCTGGTTTATGTCCTGATATTGAGAGACAAGGGTTCGAGTAGCCTGAGAGACGTAATAAATGCGCAGCTTGCTCACGCCTCTGACGCACTGCCCGTCTCCATCCAATTTACCGTCGCGTAGCACAGAGTCGCAGGAGCGCTTTCTGTAAACAAGCTGCTTTTGGGTACTGGAAGGAGTTTAGCTTGGCAGCATAGAGTTGTCTTGTGCTTACATATTTGCCATATTTATCCACGAAGGTCCTCAGATGGACCTTTAGGAGAAGGCTGAGCTGCGTTTCTGTTTTCTCAGGGAATCGCGTCGAACTTTTAACATAGCTACACCACTGCTTGCTACAAATTGCGCCCCAAAGTGATCCTTTCCTTGCTTTCAGAGCTGTGACTTGTGGTCCCTGGGTGTCATTATTTACGTGATGCTGTGTGGATACCCTCCGTTTTACTCCAAACACCATAGTCGGACAATTCCAAAGGACATGCGGAAAAAGATCATGACAGGAAGTTTTGAATTTCCAGAGGAAGAGTGGAGCCAGATCTCAGAAATGGCGAAAGACATTGTGCGAAAGTGAGTCAGCTGAGGAAAATGTTGTATTGCTCTTCGCTTATATTAAGAAATTGAAAAATCGCTTGAAAGTGCGTTATCACAAAGGGCTTATTTTTCCAAAGGCGGGGGGAATTGTCTGCAGCACATACAGCGGAAAAAAATTTCTATCGTATTCAGCACAAATGGAGTCTGGTAAATATTTTTCTTTCCCTCTCTCTTTTTTTCCTCCCTGACTTTTGTGTTCAATTTTTGATGTCTTCTGTCTCTGCAGTTGCTAGAGCGCGTTGTGCCTTTAGCCTTTGAGGGGAACGGGTACGCTACCTTGCTGCACAACAGTGTAGACAACTGGCTGCCACATCCACAAGCGCTCTCTACGCACATATCTCCTATGACAACGTTTACACTCCCGTTAAAATTGGGGGGTATTTAGATGGCACGATAGGATGTGGTAGATCTGTCCCTTAAAACCCCGTGCACATAATAAACAGTCTAAAAGGGGTCAAGAGAGGCACGGAAAGGGAGGTGAGGATCTGTCACGAGGTGTCAGACAGTGAGATAAGGTTTTGCATTGGTATTTTATTCCAAATGCTAATGGAAACTGTTTTTCACACGGTACACGTCTCTCAGTTGCAAATGTTTCGAAGACTGTGATCCCATGGTCCTGTTTGAAAGCGAGAACGTGGCACTGATTAGGGCTTGACCTCACTTATTTGTTTTAAAATGTGAGAGGGACTTACTGCCGTTAGATGTGTCACCGGAGCAACTGGAAGGAGAAAAGCAGCACAAATAGACAAAAATCAATCGGTTAAGTAATCTCAGACTGTCGCTGTCTCCTCTGACATACTGTAAAATCTCCAAGGACTTAACATTGTTTGGAAAGGGTGCTGGGACCTGTTCGTAGCAGTGCAGGAGAGCCCACAACCTTTCACCAAATAAATTGCAGATTATGTTGCAGCGAAACTTCCGCTTATACTGAGGTCAACTCATTATTCTCACTCAGAAGCTTCACAGTCAAAAGGTTTCATTGTCTTTTAAAATGGCCATGAAACTCAGCTCACGGAATGTTGTTACTTGGATTCAGTTCACTAAATTCTCTCGTTAATGTTATCAGGACTCCCCTTCCTGCTTGTCTCTTCCAGCCAGCGAGCCTGAATCTGTATTTATGGTGCAGGAACACACTTAGACTTTATAGAATTCTGGATAAGTTGACATTTTATTTCTGTAGACTGCTATTCTGGAGGTCATATTTTGCATTCAAGCAGCTGCTTCCTTTCAGGCATGTCGAGCTGCTTTCTGACCTCCAGCTTTATGAGCTGGAGTGCTTGATGATAGGTTAGGACTTTGAAAACCTACGGAAAAGGAATGCATGCATCTGGGGTTTTGTATCAAAACCGAACTTACCTGTTTGGCAGCACGGCCTTGCAAGTGAAATTTATGAGCTAGCCCGTGGTCCTGCTGACATTTTGTAAAAGTTATTTCCACTTTCTTGGTACATTAAACAATTCTGCTTTGCAGCCAGGAAGCTGATGTAGGGTATTGCCTGAGAAAGTGTGCCGGACTCATCGAGTCATTCCGTTTCTAATTTAGACTCTTGGGATAACTTGTCAGTACTCTGTGTGAAGTTTTACTTCTTTATTAAAACAGTCGTGGTTATCCTGAGAACATGAGTTTATCTGCAAAATCTCTTTCCAGGTTTCATTCTAGTAAAATTGAATTCCATGGAGTTTTCAGATCTCTCAGAATAAAGTTCCTTCTTATTTTGGGCGTCCATTACTCGAGGCTTTTGCAGGGGGAGAGAAGCTAAGGAGTTGCATGGTGAAAGCAGTTAATTCAGCAAACAGGTTTCCAACTTGGAAACTTTGCCTTACTTCACCATGCCCAGAGTCCCCATCTGAGTTTAAACTATTATGGGGATGAGCTTTAGATGTGCATTTCCAGAGAGTGTCAGTCTGCATCATTTCTGATCCATCTGGGAGATAATTTCCCATCTGGGAGGAGGTGAATGTAGAGTTTAGCAGAACACAGGTATTACTAAAATGACCTTCAGCGCCTTTCTTTTACACTGAGTTGCTGAATTTGAGCTGAGCGTTAAACCATCACTGCAGCAAGGGTCAGTGAAGCTGGTAGAAAGTCAGGCTGCCTTTGGGTCAGCTTAGTGTTTTACGTGTTAGGAGGAGTTTCTTTTTTGGCCCCTCTAATGCTTAGAGATTGCCAAGCGCTCTGATCCCAGACCGAGCAGCGCGTTGGAAATCCACAAAGACCTCCTAATGGACTGATTGATCCCTCTCCCAGGCTGCTGAAGGTCAAACCGGAGGAACGGCTGACCATTGAAGGTGTGCTGGACCATCCCTGGCTCAACTCCACCGAGGCACTTGATAACATCCTGCCCTCTGCCCAGCTGATGATGGACAAGGTCTAAACAACGTTTTATTTTATTGGGAACGTTGCATAGGAGAGCTGGATAGCTCTGGGATGGTTTGAGCACTTTCTTTCACATGGTAGAGGCGATCCTTTGTCCTATTCAGTCCTTGTGTGGTCGGTTGTATCGATCCACAGTCAATGCCTGTATTTCTAATCATGTTGTGCGTAATGCCAACCTGATTTTTTTGTTACACATCTCTGAAATAAATAGGATTTTGGTACTTTTTTTTTTTTGTCCATGGCTAACATTGTCCGTATATTGTTCTATAGTTTACAAAGAAGCTAATTAAAACCTATCAAGCGTAACTCTCTTCATTCCAGGCAATGGTTGCGGGGATACAACAGGCTCACGCAGAACAGCTTGCGAACATGAGAATCCAAGACCTCAAAGTCAGTCTCAAACCCCTTCACTCTGTCAACAACCCGATCCTGCGCAAAAGGAAATTACTGGGGTAACTCTCTAAAGCTGTTTCTGAAAGGTCGAAGCGTAGGCAGCCCTGATGCGTGGAGAGGGACTTTAAGCATGGTACAAATTCATTTGATTGTAACCGTGCTCCTGCATTTCTGACTTGGTTGACACACTCTTCATGCTGAGTTGGAGTCAAGTAATACTTGCGTAATCTGTTGTGCCTTCCAAAATAAGGAGAGATAAGGCAGGAAGGAGATTAGATAGTGGTGTTATATTATACAGGTAGCGGAACAGGTCTGTTAGGAAAAGATGGGTCACATGTGGAGTAAGGTAGGGCAAATGGGGAGAAAGAATTCCAATTTTTTTTTTTCTGATCCTGACAATTATTTACTGAAAAAGTCAGGTGATCTCTCTCTCTTTGCTGGAGTTACCTATCTGAAAAATAGGATAATGCATTTTAGGATTACCCTTACTTGAATTAATTTTAAGGGATATTTATTTTTCTTCGTGTTTAACGCAGGACATTGTTCTAATTCACACTAAATCTAGCTCGCAGTCCCAGCTTTCCAGAGAGCCAAAGAGAGCGTTATACCGATGCAGTTCTGCTGAGGGACTTCGGTTGCGTTCAAATTGTAATGATTTCCTCCTTGTTCTTTTGCAGCACTAAGCCAAAAGATGGTGTTTATATCCACGACCCTGAGAACGGAAGTAACGATTCCAACGTGGCTCTGGAAAAGCTGAGAGATGTGATTGCTCAGTGCATTCTACCACAGGCTGGTAAAGGTTGCCACTTTTAAGAAAGTTACATTCCTAAACGTGCGAGACACTGACTTTTGACTGTGCCTCGAGATCAGCCCGTGTCAGTAGTGAGGAAGGATAGACAAAACTCCGGTCGTCCTAGTCAGCCTCAAGAGGAAAGCGTTGTCTGTGGACTGTAATTTTGATGCGTGTGTAATATTAGTGTCAGCAGTGACATACAGAGCTGTTAAAGTAACTTTTGAGGAGCGTCTGCTTCCAAGCAGGTTTCCTGGTTTGCGTGAGGGGAGGAGGAATAACTGCATGTACCGTTTACTGAAGCTCTGAATGTTGCTGCGAGGCAGAATGACAAACTTGCTCTTTATCTTTGTTCTCGTAAATAGGAGAGAATGAAGATGAGAAGCTGAATGAAGTCATGCAGGAGGCGTGGAAGTATAACCGAGAGTGTAAGTTGCTGCGAGACACTCTTCAGAGCTTCAGCTGGAACGGTGAGGAACTCTTTCTCTTCCATGGAGAATGGTGCTAATGCCGGCTGAGAGAGGGGAAGCAGTGACCTTCTTGTATGGAAATAAAGCCAAATTTCTTTAATTGGTGGCAAACTGATTTAGGTTTTGACACTGTTTTAGCCCGGCTGCTGGCATGGGTGTTCTAGAAATGAGGTTGAAAGTTCTGCTTTAAAATTTCTATTTGAGGTTCGGGGTCGAGTTTTAAAAGGCACCGAGTCACGGAAGAACATCTCAGCACAGGTCGATCAGCGCTTTAGAAACCGCTTTAGCTGTCTTGAGCCGGTTTCCTTCCAGCTGTTTGTTACCTTCTTTCTGCTGGAGGCTGGTGCCCTCCTCTCTGTCAGCACAACACCTCTTCTGCTCAGTTTGAAGGGGAACCGGGATGAAAGTAGGGCAGCAGCCTTGAGGCTGTTCAGATGGCTCCTTCACAAAACAGGGTGGCAGAGGTGGCAGCCCGCAGGAGCAGATGCTGATGGATGTACGGGGACCAGGGGCATCAGCCAGGTTCACGAGGGCTTGGCTGTGCCTCTTCCCTCGTTCTGTTTTTTGTTTGGTAGGTTTGGATTTAGGTTTTTTAAATGCTCAATTGTTGGTTTTGTGTTTTTTTTTTTTTTTTCAATGGAAGTATAGATCATAACTCGTTCTGGTTCTCTTGCAAATGTGGTCCTGTGTTTCTGTGTGAAGCGTTGTTTTGTGACTCCAGCCATGATGGCTTTCCTCCTCGTGCCCAGCTGACTACTTTTCTCTTTTCAGGCAGAGGATTCACAGATAAAGTGGATCGACTAAAACTGGCGGAAATAGTAAAACAAGTTATTGAAGAGCAGACAAACTCCCATGACTCTCAATAGCTGGAGCTTCTTAATCTTATTTTTTTTACCATTTAAGATTTATTCTTTAACTGTAAAAAGTATTTTTATGTAAATTAATAAATCATAATTATTACATTAAATTTCCATACTGCTTGAAAATGCTGTATAGTTGTAGATACAAAAAAAAAAATCATTGGTACTGTAATATTTTTTTAAAACTCAGTTCCTTGAGGTATATATGATCACTTATGTACTGTTAATCATGAGTCCCCCAGATGGGGCAAATTATATTGTTAAAGACCATTCTTTTTCTTAATAACCAGTTGCAGAAGCTGCCTTCCATCTGCTATACATACAGCCAGCTGCAATGACTATGTATGCGAACAAGACGGCTGCAGTTTCTCAACACCCAGCTCAGTAAATACTTGAAGCGAGTGCTGTCAAACACAAACTTCATAGCCACCCTTTGCGCCTAAATTCTCAGTCTTTATGTAGAGGCAACTCAATAACCTTCTGTTTCACTAGATGACCCAAGAGCCACGCTTGGCCTTGCCAAGGGCACCTGAGTCCATGTGCTTGCTGTATTTTTCAGTTCTGATCAGTAGTCCTCTTCTTATTCCTTCTTCTTCCTCGGACCTTCTTTAAGACTTTGCCCTCTTTCTTCTTCCTCATCATCTTCTGACCTTTTTTAAGGCTGAATTGGCCGTTCAGCACAAGACTCCTCTCTTTATCACATTGTTCAACAGCAGAATAGAAGAATGTTCTAGTTACCTACGTACAAGTTATTTTTGTTTTCGTGGTGGGATCTTCTACGGACGACAATTAAGCGTGGGGTTCGCTTGCTTCGGCCCCCGAGCAGCAGTTGGGTGTGTTCCACCCGCGTACTCCATTCTTTCCTTTCTAGAAGATCCAACACTCGGTTTCAGACTTGTCCTCTTGTTTGGAAGAGATCATCCTGGCAAGGGTCATAGCGCTGCTGTGTGAATCCACCGGTGATCCTTCTCTCGTGTCACCCTCTGGAGTCCAAACTCCTCAGCTCTTTGATGCCTTTGAGCTCCTCCCGAGGGAGCGACAGATGCAGGGCTGCTCCTTGACACACGTCCTTATGCTGCCCGCACCAGGAGGCTGCCCAGGGCAGATTCTTACTCTAGTCTGGAACATTGGCTCCAAAAGCTGCTTTTTTTTAATTTTAATTAAACAAACGAATGAAAAAGAATCTGTACATATTTCTAGTTTTCTACC